TATATATATATATATATATATATATATATATATATATATATATATATATATATATATATATATGAAAAGGCAGTTTTCAGGACCAAAATATTTCTCGATTTTATTATATAGATGGATGTTGGACTTATATCTCAATTAAGCAAAAACCGTTTGCAAATTTTAAAAATATTATTTAATTTTCGAGATAATGAACTTAATATATCGAATGGCAGTTTCCAGGACTAACACATTTTTTAAATAATTCGTAAAATCATATTGTTGTTAATAAATATTTCTATTAGATATGGATTAGGTGTTTATAAACAATAATAATGATTATTTAGGACTTTCTAAACTATAATTTAACAGAATTTGTTCAATTTCTTCTGTGACCTGAAAAGTACCTTTTAGTAAATTAATATGTTTATGAATAGGCATTTTTCAAGTCCTTTAGATTTACGTTTAAAGTAAGAATCTGTCCCATATTTTGCATATGTATCGATTAGAGAATAAAATACTAAGAGTGATATTAAAGTACTAATAGTGACATTTTATTATACTAAATAATGACAAACAAGTAGAACATAAAGTTATAGGGTGTTTACGACAACTAATCGGATCTCTGATCGGACTGAGCAGTGGCACTCAATGGAAACTTTCAAAAAATTTCCCTAGACTGATCTGAAATCCGTACTGTCTCAGAATTGATCGGATTAGATCAGGCAGATCGATAGATATAGAATCGTGCGAGTATAATAGAATTGAAAAAAGTTGTAAAAGCCATTACACAACAAAGCAGGTACATTTTTATTGTTGTAATAATTAATATTACTGTATGTAATAAATATATATTAATACTGAATGTATTTTTATTAGTATAAAATTGTAGAAAAAAAAACAAAGAAGTCATAACCTTACTTTACTGTAATTGTCATACTTGTGCCAAAAAAGTTAACAGATACTTAAAGGTACCATAAATAATTAATAAAATTATTGTTTATATCAAATAAATAAATTAAATAAATAAACGCTATACGTTTTTAAACAATATTTAATTACATATTTGGAAGCATTTTTAATTTGGAAAAATAATCTTGAAAGTAAAAAGATATTTGTTATATAGCAGTTAATAATACTAATTACATTTTATCATTTTTATTTATGTTATAATCATTAATTTTTTTAAATAGGCTCGCAATAATGAAATATATACAATGTTGTCATTTAGTAAAATGTTATTTTTATTTTTTCTTATTGCAGAGTAAATAATATAAAAATAACTGTTCTTTTAATGATATTTTGTAATTATATAAAATACATTTCATATTAATCTTCCACATAGAACATGGAAATTTGACAAGATAAAGACTTGTTTTTGCTTCAATATCAATTTTGTAAATGATAAATAAGATACAATCCAAACTTTACTGAATTTATCTTATGGTAAAAATGCATTGGAAAAGCTTTTACAAGTGTACAAAACTTTTTCAAATTTTTAGTCGTTTCAGAACGATGTAAGAACTTGCAAAGACCCAGATTGTTGATGGAAAATGCTAAAAGAATATCCTCTGCCAACGTCTGGTTAATATATGAAATGTAATCATATTTCTGTATAATTATGGATGTGTAAATATAAATATGTAATCTGTAATTATTCATGTTATGGTATGAAAATAATCTATTTTTATTATCTTTACAGAGCATAAAAAATGGATATATTTTTATTATGGAATTTCTTTTTTAATAACGATGAGAATAATGATCGGGAAATAGCACATAGAAGAGAACAACATCTCAAAATCAATAATTTCTTTAAAATTATTGTTCCTTTGTATTCATTAACAGGTAATGAAATTGCATGTATATTATTAATATTTTTGTTATGACGTTTATAGCAGTATTTCTATATTATTTTTTTTTAAATTTCAAATCACATTTTCGTATTGAAAGAAATACTTTTGAACACTTGATACAAACTTTTGGAGCGGCTTTATTGGAAAATGATGATTCTCCAAAATTACCACCAGCTAAACAACTTGTTATTGCTTTATGGTTTTTTGGCAATCAAGAAGCTTACAGGTTAATAATTAAAACATTGAGTTTTTCTTTTATTATTAAGAACAAAAATATAATATTACATATGAAACTTCTAATTTTTTCCATTGAATATTAAATGTTAAGTTTGATATATATTTTTTATATTACATATTTTAATATGTAATATATATATTAACTAATAATTATTTTAATATTATCTTCAATATTAAAATTTATGTCAAAGAAAAAAATATAATAATAACAACGTGGTGTAACGACACTGTTCGAAATTATGTACTGAAAAAGATTTCAAACTGCTAACTTTATTGAAATTGTTTAATATTTGATATTGCTGAAGATGATTAATAATCTGATCGAAACATACAAATGCTATTAAGGAAGAAAAAAATGAACGCGTGAATTTCAGCGCATAGTTTCAAACAATTATGTTGTCGTTATTATTACATTGGTGGAGTATAGGTTACTAAAAAAATATAAGTATTAAGCCTGTGGCAGACGATGCGATTTTTCTTGCTGGATTGTTTCTGCTCTAGTGAATTACAACACATTCTGCGATCTGTTTGGTGTGTTTCTAACAATTTACTACATCGCAAGCAATGTAGCACGAAAAATCGCATCATCTGCCGTTGGCTTTATTTATTTTCTTAGTAGAAAATACCTAAATCTAAATCTCTTTAAGATTTTTAATCTTTGGATTATGAAATTGTGACGATTGGAGATTCGTCACGACGGCCATAATCGCAAGACTAACAAAACGCCGAACAACCGCGCGCGGAATAACCGCAAGGTCAACAAACAGTCGAACTGTTTGTTATAATTTAGTATAAAAGCCGACAGAAAATTGATATCGAGAGAGATTGATCGGGAAGCTCCTCTCAGGCGCACGACCGACCAGAACTCGCAATTCCTAGAGATCCTAGACATTCCGTCGAGCGAAGTGGATACGCGACGTCGACATCCTCTCTCCGATACCGCTCTACCGACCGAAGTGGATACGCGACGTCGGCTTCCTATCCATACACCGCTCTGTCGACCGAAGTGGATACGCGACGTCGACATCCTATCTCCGATACCGCTCTACCGACCGAAGTGGATACGCGACGTCGGTTTCCTATCTGTACCTCGCTCCATCGACCGAAGTGGATACGCGATGTCGACATCTTCGATACCGCTCTACCGACCGAAGTGGATACGCGACGTCGGCTTCCTATCTGTACCTCGCTCCGTCGACCGAAGTGGATACGCGACGTCGACATCCTCTCCGATACCGCTCTACCGACCGAAGTGGATTCGCGACGTCGGTTTCCTATCTATACACCGCTCCGTCGACCGAAGTGGATACGCGACGTCGACATCCTCTCCGATACCGCTCTACCGACCGAAGTGGATTCGCGACGTCGGTTTCCTATCCATACACCGCTCCGTCGACCGAAGTGGATACGCGACGTCGACATCCTCTCCGATACCGCTCTACCGACCGAAGTGGATTCGCGACGTCGGTTTCCTATCCATACACCGCTCCGTCGACCGAAGTGGATACGCGACGTCGACATCCTCTCCGATACCGCTCTACCGACCGAAGTGGATTCGCGACGTCGGTTTCTTATCTATCACTCTGTCGACCGAAGTGGATGCGCGACGTCGACATCCTTTCCTCCTCACGCTACGCCGCTAACATCTACGATCGCGAACGCATACCGGGCATAAGACAACGGCGACAACGAGCGCCTTTAAACCAGTAAGGAAAGACCAGGATAGATAAACAGATTAAAGCCGATGAGGCAACGAACTCCGAACGACGAACAATAGTGTATCCGGAAACAATTCCGACCGCGTCCCGCCTGACGCTCGCGCGCCTCGACGCTCGCAGCTGATCGCGAGACGACAACAACGGCTCCCGACGAGAGCAAAAACGCGACCACGCGCCAACGGCGTAACGTCGCCTGTAAATAATTGTAAATAGCTTCGAAATTAGAATATAGTTCCACATTATTATCACCTATACCACTGGTTTTCATTTCACACACGAAACCCGGACCACACCGGCTAAGACTATCCCGCACGTAACGCAAGGCCGTTACAAAATTATATAAAAACGTATGAAAAAGAAATTTAAAACTTAGATTGTCTACTTTACATTACTTTGAACTGATTCACTTTAAACTCTAATTTGAAATCGTATATTGAAGTTGAAATGACAATTATCTATTTCTTGAAGATTATGATTTTTTATGATTTGTACGAAGAATGAAAAATATTTGTACTATGAAAAATATACTTTTTTTGCAGGGATACAGTATACATACAGACAAAATTTATAAATAGTATTCGTTTTTTATATATGTTTGTGTAGTATACATTTTTAATTTATATTATTTTAAAATTTTATTTTTAAGTTTTTGTTTTTGCATTGAAAATGTTTTCTTATTTTAGATCCGTTGCAGATCGATTTGGAACGTCTAAAGACACTATATGGAGATGTGTTTTTAATGTCGCTTACACGCTAGAGCAACATGTTCAAAATTATATTAAATGGCCACAAATTCAGGAGACATTAAATATACAAGAACAGTTTGCTGCAATTAGTAATTTCCCAGGTGTGGTGGGCGTTATTGATGGTTGCCACATTCCTATTAGTGCTCCTATTGAACATCCAAATAATTACATTAATAGAAAAGGATTCCATTCTATATTATTGCAAGGCATTTGTAATCACCAAATGAAATTTATTGACGTGTTTACGGAAATTTGCGGCAGTGTACATGATGCTCGAGTTTGGCGGTTAAGCGACATCAGAAATATGATAGAGCATAATGTAGGACGGTATTTTCCACAACAAGGTCATCTCTTGGCTGATTCTGCATACCCGTTATTGCATTATATGCTAACTCCATATCGTGACAATGGTCACTTGAATCATGTCTAACATAATTACAATACAAAATTATCAAGAACCCGTGTCATAATTGAAATGAACATTTGAATGAAATGAAATTGAATGAACATTTGGAATACTAAAGGGACGATTCCGAAAACTGAAATATATATATATATATATATATATATATATATATATATATATATAATACAGATATGATACCACTAGTTATACTTGCATGTTGCATTTTGCATAATATTTGTATTGATATTGCGGATGAACCATTTGATATTTTGGAAATGGACAATATAAATAACAATGATAATTATGCAGTTATGAGAGCTGATGAAAAAAGAGATATTATTGCACAATTATTATTGTAATACCTATTATTTAATATACAAGACATCGTTTTTCATACATAAAAATGTAAAAATTTATTTCTGAACCTATTTCTGAAGTCATTAATATATCAATAGATATACAATATACATAATCTTTGAAAGAGACTGTTATTATTTCATTTTCTGTAATGCATGTTAATTTGAGTTATGATTTGTGCAATATAATCTGTACATAACAATACCTTCCATTTAGAATTACTTTTTTGTTGATAACATTAAAAGTTTAAGATATGAATTGCCTTTTACCATAACAAAATTCATCTCTGCTTTTTCTAGTAAAAAGAATGTTTACTTTATTTAAATGTATTATTGTAATAGTGTCAAATTGTTTGTACCATACAATCTTAATTACCAGAAATAAAATGTTTTTATTTCAATTAATCAGAAAAATCAATGAGTACTAATTTTTTTATTTCGTACCTAGAGTCTTCATTTGATTATATTTTATACGCAGGCTGCAATATGCGTCATTTTTCATTTTTTAATTACTTCAAGTATACGTGTGGACACAACGCGATACGCGTGTGGTTACAGTCAAATGCAGTTCGTGAAAATTGCGTGCTGCGTTGGTGACCGGAATAGCGATGCACTGAGATTTACCATTGACTCGCTTTGGACTTTGCTGAAGATGCTCCCAAGTTTTAACCGAAACGTCCGGACAATGTACTAATTTTCTACTTTTATTGTTTTATTTGCGCCTTTATCCGCGCTCACACTACCCTATTATCATTTTATGACTAATTATTTTAACTTAGAAGCTAAATCCGCTAACTCAATAATACAATTTACTAAAAAAGAGATCATCTCAGTTTTTCTTTGCGAATACCTATGTGAAACTTGATAAGAATAGAAGTTGGACAAAATAAGAGCAATTTTTTATAAGTCTTTTATAAAACAAGAATATAATCGAATAATATTGTAAGCGCTCATAATTTTTATTATATTAAATATTTAAAGACACATTTTTATATATAATTAAGAAATACATAAAATAGCAGTTCAAATTTTATATTGT